AATACTGATAACTATACCGCTAGTAATAGTGATGACAATAGTTCCGATAACAAGACTCAATAATAAGATCAAGGCTCAGAACAATAATAGTCATACTACAAATGATATTAAGTGTGCTACCAGTATGAGTTTGTGACCTTTTGTGCTGCAGTTGCTGGTAAACCCTTGGCCTTCGGCCACCGCCGGGTCCACAAACGCAGGCCTGTCTCATAATGGGAGCAGCAAGCAGCCAGGACACATGCAATCACTGGATTCTGACTAACAAACCCGCGTTGGTCTTTGCTTCAACTATTCAACTAGTACAGGTGTTCTTGCAGCATCATTCCCAGCGACAGCGACCTGTCGATGCGCTGCTCCTGCAAAATGCTATATCATCACGCATAGCATCATGAATCTGATGGGAAAAGCTTTCCGACAATGCTGGTGAAGCTGGACTGAGAAAACACCTGAGAAGCTCCACTAGCAGTCCTTGGGCTCGGCGGCGAAGCAAGTCGCCGGAGTGCAGCAGAGCGGCGTGCCGCACCCCGCTGTGCAGCCACCTGGCACGTAGGGGCACACGACCAGAGAGGAGGCACAAGCGATACAAGTTTCCAACACTTTCCGTCACAGCCTCCATCCAAACGTGGTGAGTATCAAAGCATGGGTCATGACTAGCTGAAGACGTTGCATGCCTCTTCTGAGAGCAGCTTTGCACGGCTTTGAGCCTCCTGGCATCAACCAAGTGTCTCAAGCCTCAGGCATCTCCATAATCTTTGCAAGAGTCCTCCATTGACTGCGGCATCATGGCCACATCCTTGCCGTCCTGACAGGCTTCCGGCCGAGGATGAATATTCCGTGTCATTCGCGTGCTACAAAAGGAGCCAGCAGATTCCAGCTGTTTTACTTCGCGGTCAGTCGGCGCGACATCTTTTTCCGCCGCTTCCTTTGCCTTAGATGGCAAAGCGCTCACGCCTGGCCAAACACCTCCAAGTATCAACTCCAAAACATGCCAATGACGTCAAGGGTTCGCAGTCCAGCTCACCGGCGCAAGGTACGTCCGCACTTCTTTTGCAGACCCTGGGTTTGAAAGCCCATGTGAGCTCGGCTAACCGGCGAAGCATTGCAACGCTCTTCTAAGACGCCCTATCTCTGGGCCTTGTGGCGGCGACAACGACAGCGTGCCCCCCTCCAATGGAAAGGCCTTCGACTGAGTGCCTGCTTCCACCTCGTCAGAAAGCCACAAGAGTGGGAATGAGAATTAAGAAATGGATAATAACTGCAGAACGAGTGTCCCGAAAGCGTTTGCAACAATGAGGTAGTCAGCACCACGATACTCGACCATTTGACATAATTTCATCCGTTCACGATCTTGTATACATCCACCCATCCATCACTCCATCCATGCATGCTGTTAACTCTGCAATATACTTCCTCAGTATAAAAGCATTCATTCTTAGGAACTAACCTCACGAAAACCACGAAAACCTCACACCATGCCATCAACCCCACATCCCTGCTGATACCTCACGAAAACCGTACAACAACTTCATCACATCATCCAATTAGCACCATCCCATCAATCAAACTTCAAGCCATCCTATATGCAACCACCTCGCAAGAAAACTATTCGCAACGTTTTGAGACATGTTCATTATCAACAGCTAAGCTCACGAAAACTGTACCGAAACAGCGCGAAAAAAGGTACGAACAACCTCATCACATCATCCCATTCACATCATCCAACCAATCAAACACCAAGCCATCCTGCACGCAGCCAGCTCCAGGGAAAAAAACATGCGCAACACTTCCTGGAAAAATCACATGGAAGAACAATTGCGGTGGTGGTGGTGGCGGCGGGGGAGAGGAGGTGGTGGTGGAGGCGTGGGGGTTTCGGTAGCCCGGTAGCGGTGCCTTTGGCGGTGGCAACGGCAGTGGCAGTGGAGGCGGAAGTGGTGGTGGCGGCATTGCTTCCACGTGATGCAATCTGCAACACCGCTCTGGTGGCCCTTACGAATGATTTCTGGCACCAGGTCCCTAGCCCCAGACAGCTTGAAACACAAGACCTTCCGCTGTGCATTCGGGCAAAAATGCATTCTCGCTGTGACCCATTTGCAATACAAGAAGCAATAGACATGCAGACATTGTAAAGTACTAAAATAATCAGGTTTGTAAACGGCAGTAACCCCTATGTCTTTTTGATTCCTGGCTGTCTCTCGAGCCACCTCTTTGGGCTCGACGGGCTTGGGCGAAGTTGAGAGGACCTGGGACTCATCCGTCAAGCCAGTTGAAAAATGGTAGTTTCCCAAAATTAGGGGACCCCAACATAGACCCCAATATACTATAGTCCTTATTATGGGGACCCCGACAAAGGTACCCCCTAATTTTTTGGGAAACCCCCAAATGACTGTGCCAAAATCCGACCACGTTCGCACGGTTTTGCTGACAAGGACTACTGAAAATAAAAAAACCGAAGCTGCTGCTGAGAATTTCTTTGGTACACATCCTCTGTTGAGAGCGGGCGCGAGGCTCTCGCTTCCCTCTTGCTTCAAAAACGCTGACATGTAGGTAGGCCAACCGTAGTTTCTGCCATGATGCAACATCTAGAACATGTGATCTGAACCGTCAAAAACCAAAAGGAGTCTGCCACAATTGCTTCCTGGCTGAAGAAGCAAGAGCCATTGTTTCGAAAATGCATCGGAATCCGCGCACGGGAGAGTAGCGTTTCTCGTGGGGCCGAACCCAGTAGGATCAAAGGTCATTTTACAAAACTAAAGCCAAAAGGACTATACAATCTTAGTCTATTTTGGGGGGCCTGCAAGATCCCTAAATAAGAGGCTACTCCAGTGACATCGATCAATTACTGAAAACATCCATAAAACCCAGAACGTAATTCCTGAACTTTACACCCTGAACACCAAACCCTCACCCTAATCTACGAACCCTACACCCTCAACATCCCTCGACCCTCAATCGTAGTCGCTCAAGCTTAAGCCTGACAGCGCAGCTTTTTTGGCTTGCGGCAAAATTCAAATGAATTGAAACGTTTTCTCGATCTAAATATACTATAGTAGTTTCGATTTTCTTTTCCATTATCCCAATATAACCCCAACCCTAACCCTAAACCCTAAACCCTAAACCCTAGACGCTATACTTAAGCGGCCTGGCCTTTAAGTCGGTTCAAAGTTTGTTTTGTTTTTGGGCCCGAAAGGTCCAAAACGCTCCAAAATCGCAGAAACCCCAAACTAGGTTTAACAACCCAAAGGCGACTCCCATAATCTTAGATAAAGGTCCGACATGGGCTCCGCCAGCCCAAAATTTGTTGACTTGGTTCCGAAAGACACGGTCACCCAAAAGGCCCATTATTACTACTACTATTACCATTACTATTATTGTTACTATTACTATTATTATTACTATTATTATCACTATTATTATTGCTATTACTATTACTATTATTAACAATGTTGGCTCCAGAAGGATCGCCGAGCTGCGCTGGTGTGCCCACATCCCTCATCCCTAACCCTATACCCTAAAATCTATGATATATCAGCATCTACCCAACATCTTTCAAGCCTAACCCTAAACTCTAAGCCCCAAACCCCTTAAGCCTTCTGCCCAACCTCCTGGATGCGGCAGAGCAACGCTGGAAACTGAGCGGAGCCCAGGAGCCTCCTCAGCACCAGCATCTCTTGAGTAATGTTTTTTTTTGTGGTTGAACCTAGTAAGATTATATTCCTTTATATAGAAATACTATACTCAAAAGGAGGATATAATCTTACTCTAACTCTACATTAGGTACCATAGTATCCCCAAATAAAATACTACTCTCTTGGTGATTTCTCAAGATGAATTAGAATGCTGCGAAGTATAATCCTGAGGGGGGGGTGGTTATAGGGGGCTACATAGGGCTTAGGGTTTAGGATTTAGGCTTTGGGGTCTAAACTCCTTAAAGGGGGGTATATAAGCGATGACATGGGCGACCACTCTAGGGCTTATTAAGGAGGATACTAGGAGATGAGTATATGGCTCAAATGGGGATGCCCCTGGGTCCCTTTAGCAGTTTTCGGAGGGCCGATATAGGGTTTAGGATTTCAGTATGTGTTTTAGGATTTTAGGACTGCTCTGAGAGTGAAGATATCCTAGAGAAACTTAAGGATCTGAATGATATGCATGTATGAAAATAGAATTATGCGGGTCCCCTTTGGGCCGTCTCCTTAACCAAAAAAGCGGATTGACATCTCAGCAGCGGTCATCAAGCTGCCAAGGACAGTCATGCTTTTATCATCAAAATGGAGATTCCCCAAAGTTAGAGGTACTTTTTGAGGAATATCTCATTTTGGGCTCTATATTCTGTCCCCTATTTAGGGAAACTACCAAATAGCATTCACAATCCCGGCGAAGCCGTCCTCCGTCCAACGCTGCAAGCTTTTCGGCAACGGCGAAGCATTTCCTTTCAGGGAATGGTCAGGGAATGACACCAACAGCGGTGCCTCTGAGCCATAATCTAAGCTCCTAGCTTCATAATCCCTATAGTAATTCCTTACATAATCCCCAATGTAACCCCCATCAAAAAGTTTCCACTATAGCTCATCTGAAGGTGAAGGAGGAAGCGGGAACTTGGCAGAATGCTTTGGCAGGGTCGGGCCTGGCTTGTGTCCGACCCAGATGTTGGCCTTGCAAAACCCAGAACACAACTGTAGGGGTTATGGGGGATTATATAGAGGACTATCATAGGGATGATAGGGGACTATTAGAGCGTTATCGGGGATTATATAGGGGACTGTTGTAGAGGTTATATTGGGATCATATAGGGGACTATTTTGAGGGTTATTAAGGGGGATGCTAGGAGTTTACCACACAGCTTGGAAGGTATTCCTGGTACACTGCCGGAGCCCTCCTGCCCTTTCATCTCCCTGGTGCTTAGTAGGGAATGGGGGAATGGATCCCTATAGAGAGATTGATCCCCAATAATAATCCCCATAATCCATTCCCCCATTCCTTCAAAACCAACAGGGAATCATTCAGGAATTTTCTAGGCCCCTGTCTCGTTGCAGCAAGGCAGCCAAGAAGGTCACGCGACGACCGTGCTCGGCATCTGTGACCTATCTAATCTAAAGCCCACACTGTCCACTCTAGTACCGAGTTCACGTTTATGTCTGTCCGCAAGCCTTGGAAGGTCCAGAGCCCCAGCAAGGAGCTCCATGGAGGAAGCGGCCATCAAAGACAAGATGCCGACCAGCCCTGGAAATTTAGCGGATGCATGATCCAAAAATTAAGCAAAACAGCCTAAAGCTTGGAAGCGCAGCACCTGGGTGGGACGACTACGCAAAGCGCTTGCGCGTCTGCCGCCGGAAGCGGCACCGGGGCCGCTTCTTCGCGCGTGGCAGGTGACACCACATCCACGGCCATCGTGCCTTAGCCACAAGGAGAACCGAAACAGATTTCCTCCAGCTACCTAGAACCTCGATACAGCCTGCTGCCTTCAACATGCCAGCACAGGTGAGCTTCTGAGCTGGCACGGCTCTTCGGAGAGGTAGGTCACCGTGCCAAGCATGGGGTGTAGGTTCACGCCACTGTCTTCTAAGACATAGTCACGGTCCCAGTGCCACCCAACATCCGCATCAGTTTCCTGGTGAGACTGCTACAGGCCATGCAGATGTGCATCCCCCCCATCCCAAAAGAGGCCGTCGATACAAGAAGACGTTATGCCGCTATGCAACGTATTGGTTTGAGCAACCCCTACCGCAAAGTCTTGAGGCTTCACAGACAGCGTTGGTTCGTTGTGCTACCAGCCACCCGGTTTCGCAGCAATTGCAAACCTTCCCAGACGCAAATGATGCCCACCGGCAGCTGGCAATGTCTTCTGTAGAAACATGGGCAAACAAATCCGACCGACTCACAAAGTGCTTTCTAAATGTCGCATGCTTCTTGGAAGTCTACAGCGAAATTCACCAAGGTGCCAAGCAAAGCGTCCACCATTCAACCCCGGCCGAGGCAGCAGGGTCCGGACAGTGGCGTCGCAGTATGGCCAACCTCGTGGGGTTTAGGAAGCACAGCTTGAAATCTCAGGCGCAGGCTAGGCATGCGAAGGCAGTATGCAAACCTACAGGTACAGGCATTTGGGGGCTTCCAAAATTCGAGGGCCCTTTTAAAGCGGCCTCTAACTACTGTTGATACTTAAAATCCTGCACGACCTTACTCTACTATAATACCATAATTCCCAAGACATAAGGTATTTAGGGTCATGCAGCATCTTTAGTATCCACGGTACCACCTTGTCACAAGCTGCCAGGCTGCGCCAAGGCCTCAAGTTCACAGCGCGGCTCTTGGGTCCAAGGCGTCCAGAAGGTCTTCCCAGAGCTATAACCTGGCTTGCTATTAAGAAACTTAAGTTAAGTTAGCAATATAGGGGTTATATAGGGATAATGGGAAATAAAATGGAAACTATAGGGATTATGTGGATTATAATGGGGTATATACTGGATGATGGAAAATAAAACGGAAGCTACTATTTAGGGCTTAGGGTTTAGGGTAAAAAACAGGGTTTCCTTACTTTGGTAACTGAACGTAAGCTCCTTGACTTGACGACAACCTAGTAACCTCACATAAGCCACAGTCTAAACTCCTAGTATCCCCCTTAATAACCCCTATAGTAGTCCCCTACATAAACCCCTATATAATCCCCCTTTAAGGAGTTTAGATTATGTCTCACATGACCGGCCTCATGCAGCTGCAAAAAGCGCTTTTGCCTTCTTTGCCGAATTTGATATACTCCCTTATTCCCTACTATAAACCTACTATATGCCCGCTTATAATGTTGTAGCTTCCATTTTCTTGTCTGTTCTCCCTATGTAGCCCCAACATAGCCTTGCCTCCAACGAATCCGAGGCCAAGAAGCGACCCTTGCTCGGCCGAGCCTGGCAGATCGGCACCAGGAATGTATACATATACATATATAAACATATATACATTTTTGTATATGTATATATATATATATGTATGTATAAGGGTTTCCGAAAGTTAGGTGTATGTGTATATACGTAGAAAATAGGGGCAGCTCAAAAGGGTGGTTCATCCGGTTAGATAGGGAGGGTTCGGGGTCTGCCAAAATTAGGGGGTACTGTTTTGAGGGTGCCTAAAGCAAGGATTATAGATTTCGGGGTCTATTTTGCGGTCCCACTATCCAGGGAAACTACCACATAGGGATATGGTGGGATAATGGAGAATCAATTGGAAAACAAGATGGACAAATGAGCCATGGTCTAAACTCCTAGTCTCCCCCTCAATAACCCCTATGACACTCAGACACTCCCCTATAAAATCCCATATATAACCCCCCTTTAAGGAGCTTGAACTACAGCTCGAATTGAAACTACGATTATGGCGAAGTACAATTTATCACTCCCTTAAAGCCCTGACCTTACGGGGTCTTGGTAGGGAATGAGGGAATACAATCCCTACACAATCCCTATCTAATATATGCCCTCATTCCCTACTATACCCCTAACATATACCCTACTATGCTGTAGTAGATTCCATTTCATTTTCCATTGTCCCTATACTCCCTATATATATATATACATGGAATATATATAAATCCCTACTCAGAACCGGTAAGTGCCAGCCCCGACCTGGAAGCAGACCTCAGCACAGCGCCGCAGCGCTTCCACAGACCCCTCGGCCAGGAAGTCGTCCGCCACGCGAGCGCCAGGTATGAAGACCATTGACCGAGTCAAGGGGCCTGCATAGGAATAGTAGCAGTAGTCGTAGAAATAATGATGATAGTAGTAGTAGTAGTAGTAGTAGTAATAGTAATAGTAGTAGTAGTAGTAGTAGCAGTAGTAGCAGCAGCAGCATAGGAGTAATAGTAGTAGCAATAGTAATAGTAAATAGTAATAATAATAGTAGTAATAGTAATGGTAATAGTCATAGTAATAATCTGAAAAGCCCAGCTCCACTCAGAGTTTCTTGAAAGAATGACTGAGCACAAACATGGTGCTCTGAGTCCCCGGTGGGGTCTTTTTCATTCTGCCTTGAGGATTGCAAACGCGGCCATCCTCGTCCAGCTGCAGTGACAGTTCCTCCTCGCTCTCCTCCTCCTCCTTAACAGATACAATTTTGGAAGCCGTGTCGGGCAAGCGCCATGGAAGGCTTGCATCAAAAAGATTATACCGATATACTGCCACTATGAATACTATTAATATTCATAATATTAATAATATTATCAATATTACCAATATTCTGAATATTATGAATATTCTTAATGTTACTAATACTATTAATATCAATTATACTATCAATATTAATAAAACTACTTGGAGAGCTGCCTCGTCTTCATGGTCGTCCTCTGCCTCCTCACCTTTTCCAGGCTCATCATCCCACCAGGATGGCAAAAGACCCTGGCGCCCAGCCATGATCTGATATATAACTTAGGAAGACCCCCCACCCTGTAATAGTGGTATAATAGGAATATAAGTGGACCCTAATATAATCCCTATGATCCCCTATAGTCACTATTACTGGGTGGGGGGTCCACCTAATATATGACGCCCAATAATGGAGAATCAAATCGAAAATGAAATGGATAGTGGGGTTATATATGGGTTATATAGGGGTTTACATATTGACCCCAATAATGCTGGACTCACTTTAAACTTAGGGCCCCCCGCAACAATAGGGGGTCCGGAAAAACAGAAAGTAGACGTCCTCAACAAGGCTCCCGCGGTACTGAGGGCCCCGGGAGGCCTTGGGGATTAGTTTAAAGGGATTCGGTCCCGAATTTTTAGGGCCGCAAAACCAAACACATGAAACAAGGCCTTCCGAACAATGGCCAGATCCTCAATAAGCGGCGGCGAAAACACATTAAAGAAGGCCTCTACACAAAAGTTAGTGCAACATTAATGGAGAGAATCAAATCAAAAACAAAATGGAAACTAGGCATATAATAGTTTAAAGTTTCCCACAAATGGGGGGGGTCCTTATAACAAGGATTAGAGCATTTTAGGGTCTACATTGGGGTCCCCCTATTTTGGGAAACTACTAAACAAGCTATATAATCCTAGCTTCCATTTCATGTTCCCTGTTCTTTTCCATTTGATTCTCCATTCCTGGGGTTGGGAAATCACCATTTGAGCCATAGTCTAAACTCCTTAAAGGGGGTCATATAGGGGATTATATAGGGGAGCGTTATAAGGGCTCTTAAGGGGGATACTAGGAGTTTAGATTATGGCTCATATAGCCCCACTGTTGTAGTTTCCATTTTCTTTTCCATTATCCCTATATAACTCCAGAATATCCCCTATAAGGCCCCTATATTCATATGACCCCATATGGACTTTTGCCTGAACCCTAAACCCTGAACCCTAAACCCTAAACCCTAAACCCTAATCATTTAGGGGTTGTCTTGCCTCCGCAGGCGAGCCATCCGGTTCCGGCGGCATATTGGTAGGGACGCGATCCATGCACACCCGCCGTCCGTGTCTGCCACAGTTCTAGCTTAGCTTCAAACACGCTGTGACATGTAAGAGCCGGAGTAACCCCCTAAATCTCAGAAATCAAAAGTATTTGCTCGATTGACAGTGCTAAGGAACTGCATTTGGGTGGCTTGGGTTGCAGTGAATGCGGCATGGGACGTTTTATTCATCAACAGGTTTGTCATTTGTGCTTAGCTTGAGCTGCAGAAATAGCTGTGGCCGAACATGCCACACAGCACCACAAAAAGCAGAAATGCAGCGGCCAACGGACCAGTGCATGGCATGTTGTTTTGATACTGTGGTTAAATCCCAGCCAGTATTCAAGCCAGATTGGTCTCCTCCGTAGTATCGCGACGAAGGTCTAAGAGCTGCGTCCTCAGAGCAGCGCCAAGTACGGGAGCCAACTTCTCTGAGAGCTAGAGAACATGTAAATTTGGCTCATGTCCTGACAAAAAGCTGCTGTCCACACAATATGCTTCAATCCCTGTCCAGTCTACCCGCTGCTCTGCTGACGAGCAGCATCTCTGGTTGCAGCTGCGCCTGGGCCTCCCAGGGGTTTAATTATAGTATATTATAGTATATTATAGTATATTATAGTATATTATAGTATATTATATTATATGAAAACATATCATAATATATTATGGTATATCAAAGCATTGTAAGTTATAGGAATATGGGCCTCTGCAAAATTCTTCGGTCCCATGGCTTCCATGAGCACGCTCTCCCCTGAGGCTGTCGAGATCTGTCGAGGCTTTTGGAAGCTTATAGGGATTATATTGGGATAA